CTTTTTTAAAAATATTTTGGTAATTATCAGCGAAAAAATTTTTTTTTTTATTATCTGAAATACAAGATTTTTTACTTAAATATTAATTAATAAATATTTTACGTTTAGCAAAAGACAAATTAATGAAAACTTTTTTAGAATCAGCAAAATTTCGATTATAATGATTAGTTGAAAATATTTTTTCTTATAAGGAAGCCCTATAGGTGGTAGAGCATAGTTTTTATTCCAATAATCGTAATAATATATTCGCTAAGAAATATGAAAAGATTTTATCCATTTCTGCTTAAAACTTAGTATAATTAGTGATATTTTATGACGTAGAACCTTTTCGTCTGTTATACTTTTGTACTTTATTAACGCACCAATTAAAACCGTTTTAAGCTGGGAATATGCGTCTTTGGAACATTTTTATTAAATGTATTATATAAAATGTATATAGTGTAAATAAAAAGTTAGGGTTGAATAAAAAAGGATTAGAACCCTTTTCTCCCTGGCCCACGTAAAGTTGAAGTTTAATTTATTAAGTACGATTATACCATTTTCCCTCCACATTAACAATCAACGCGTTAGTTTTATAGCTGAACCCTTTGTAGTGTTTTCCACAGTTATCGACAAGCATCCAACCATGCCATGTTGAACTTTAAAATTTTGAACTATGATTACTGATCGCCTAACTATGTAATTAAATCGACGACAAAGTTGTATTTTTCTTTTCGTCAACACATCGATGATGATTCCTAGTCACTAAGCAGTTAAAAAAAATCAATATTTAATATCAAAGGTGATAGAAAATTAGATCTTGTTGAACCATTGGGGGAGGGGGAGTCGACATTTTCCCAGTATTTTTCAAAATAACTTAAAAAAACCTTGAAAAAAACAATACACCTCGATAAAAAAAAATTGTCTCAGTCAAAAATGCATATTCCTAATTTCTTTTCAAGAGTTTAAAGTTGAAATATTGACAAAATTATGAACATTCAAAAATTATATTGTAGTCAAAAGTTCATACACAACTGGAAACTAATTTAAATTATTAATTTAAAAATTTAAAACAAGGTACCAAAATCCAATGGTTTTTCTCAGTATAGCAATATATCAATATTGAAAATACATAGGTGCATACCTAACATCTATTAAACATCTGAAGTACGATTGTAGATAAGATTTGATACTTAAACAATAAATAACCATTTATTTAAGCTACTTTATTGATATTCAAAAAATAAAAATCTTGGAAACTTGAACATGTTCACATATTATTATTATTATATTAGTTTCATTACACAACACATTTTTTAAATATTTTTAGATTCATTTTAAGCCATATAGTTACTACACGTATACATATGTAATATAATAGGTCGTGTTTCTGGAATAATCCGACCTACCTTATTACAAATAAAAAAATTATTTTTCATATGAATTTAAATTAATTGTAAGATATACTCAGAATTTATAAATTGAGGCTCACCCTTTCTACATAAAATTGTTTTGCTTTTACAATAATACAATAATGTAACATGTAATTCAATTTTAACACAGCCATTACAGTAGTGAATGACGACGTACACTTGAAATCTACTATATAGCAAAACAACTTTCTCGGGTTTTTTTTATTTTTATAATATACTCGAGAAAACCTATAAAACCATAAGTATATACGAAGCTTATATATATATATTCATTAAACCATGTCCGATGCTCTCGTCCATTAACTTGATATATTCCCAGTTTTAAAATTCAATGTCCGCAATCTTAAATAATAGCTCAGAATAGAGAAAGATATTTTCAATGGTTCCAATAATTGTGGTAGAGCTATAATTTCTAAGGAGAATATATATTTTGTTTATTGGAAAAAGTTTACCGATATAATACAATTAATATTATGACTTGTTTTTTACTTCAGTCCCCGGATCATCCAGGAAAATAAATTAGAAAATATTGACGATGTTTAATGTATTATGACTAACTTATATGGTTAAAATAACAATTATAAAACGTTTGTGATTTCGCTTTATGTTTGCATTTTATAATTGTTGGTAGAAAAGATGTATTAAAATTGTTTCCTAGAAATTTTAATTTATTTGGATTTTATAGATGCATAGTAGGTATACACTAAACAGCATTTTAATTAGAATTTAGAACATTTTAATAAACAATACAAGTGTAAAGAAATTTTATACTACACTTTTTATTTTACGTTTTACAAATTTATATTAAATATTTATATTAATTTATGAGTTAGTACATATTATGTGACTAAACATGAACACAACCTTTATGCTTCGAAATAAATCTTAATTTTCAAATAGTGTAAGAGTTCTGTTTAAATGGTCACACACGACCCCGCACACATTTAAATAAAACAATATATGTATATTGTAAATTAAATAATTGATTTCCGTGTATTCCATTATATTTTAATTATAACGCATCGTATAATACTGCTTGTAGCTAAACTGGTAGTTAAAATGGTGTTGTGATTGATATAGGTTTCTGCCAACTAATTTATACCTATTTAATATGTTTTGTGAATATATTTTAGTTAAACAATCATTTTATCTCCTAAACTATATTATATGTGTTTAAACTGTAAAGCGTAACTTTTCAACTTACTATCGTTTGGTAGTTTTCAAGTTATTTAACTTTGTGTTCTAAATATATAATGTCCATAGTGATGAGTTTATAAGATATGGGGGATTTTGTGATTTGAAAACTGTAGTCATTAATAATAATCTATTAATACAGTCTTAATAATTTGTAAAAATGTGTAAAATAATAAATGCTATATTAAATTGTACGTCTACTTTATATTTCTGTAAAACCAGTTTTAAAGGACTATATTACCCTTAATATTAATATTTTAATAAATAAGAAACTACCCTTTTGAAATTTGAATATTATCCTCTAATTAATTTAGGTAAAATAGGGGGTTCTCACCTGAAAAATAGAAGTTTGTATCACCACACGACACTTCTTAAGTAGTATAAAAAAATTCAAGAAAGTATAGTCTGTATTTAAAAATTCCAAAGATCAAAATTTGAATAAATTTTTTATTAAAGGAAAAAATTGGGTTGTGCATTCTTGGTGAATCGCCCTGTAATATGTATTATATATTTCATTAAATATTAGACAATTGTACCTGTGCAGACTTATGATTTTTATTTTTTCAATAAATTTATTAAATAGTTTTAATCAAAAATTTAAAATGTTCACATATTACCTATTAAAAATCTGTTTGGGAAACATTGATACACTGTATCACAAATAGACTTCTCTACCTTTGATAAAAGTTTAGTATTTCTATTATAAATAATATATATAAAACGGCGTGTTCCTCACAAATTGGATTTTTACTGTTTACACTCACGCATCCAACATTTTCTTGAGTTAATAATACACATATAATTCAATTTAAAGTAAGTAAGTACACTCCAAAATCAAATATGGTATTCAGTTAATAATATATTATGAAGAGTAGGAAGTGATGGTGGTTAGGTTCATCAAGTTGTATAACATTGAAACATCACGAGTAAAAAGCGTTGAAACTCAAGAGTTTGGCCCAAATCAAGTGACATAATATACCAATAAACATACCTTTATTATTATTATTCTAATAATAATTATTTGGTTTTTTCTTAACGCAACATTTACACCATGTCATTTGTTGATTTCGACTTAATATTTTTAATATGGTTTTCATTAGTGTTCATTGAAGTATGATATTTTGGATATTGAGTCAAATGTGAGCTTGTCTTTAAGAATCGAAGATCTTTCAAAATATATTCTTGGTTGGTGTATATATATTGTTACAAACAATATAATACCAGAGAAACTTTGCAGTATATCATGCCAAGTAAAACCAAAGTGTCATGATATCAATTAATTACTACGTGTGTGTAGAGTAATCTGGGAGAATCCACTTAACGTAATCTTTTCCATTGATGCTAATATACTTCTATATATAACCTAACCTTGCTAGAATACTTCTGCTAATATTCGAGCTTGTGCATATTATTAAGGATAATATTTCAAACAATTTGATGAAATATTTACTACTTTCTAAAAATTAATCGTTTTATTTGCATTGTTTATTTAAGAATCGAAGTATTTTTAGTGTCACATCATTTGGTTTTTTTTAGAATATATACTTTAGATATTTAAAAAAAAAAATGTAATTGTAACATGCAAGAATCTACCACTAGAAATATTAATTACAATATTTTATTGACGACAGGGTAAAACACCCAAAGTACTACCTAGCTACTGCTGCAGTTACATGCTACTCAGTGCAGCTCGTATATTTACAAAAAGACAAATATTTTCTTTTAATTAACAGTTTCTGGTTTTAGTAATATACTAATTAGCCACTCTTTACTTTTAGTCATTCAAAGTTTATCGTTTCAAAATGGAATGTTTACTATAGCTAAATAAACTACACATGTGTATACAACGAACGGTTTTGAATTAAAACAAATAAATATTATATCACAGATTGTATAAATTAAGATAATACAAAATGTAAGCTAATCAAAACCTACCTCAAATCAGTATCACCATTAATAGATTCATTAAGAAAAAAAGTTTTTATGAGAAATTATTGATTATTAATTACCCATCACTGACATTTAGTGTAATAAATAATATAAGCTAATATCATAATCAAAGGTGTATTCATTTGTTATATTGATTTAAAAAATTCAAACCTATTAATAAATTACTATCAAAACTTGTAATATTTTTGCTTTGATACTTTATTTTATTTATTTTACATTATACGTTTTTGTTTCTAAGTCTACTATACAATTTGAGTCATAAATGATTGATAATACGGGTATTGATCAGGAAATATTATTTTTGTATGTTGACGAACCGAAACCTACAAAATCACCAATTTATTATATTGGTTCCAGTTCCGACTTACTCTCTTTTATATTGGGCGCCTTGGGTATTTATTATTATTATATTTCAAAGATATTTATTTTATCGTAAATATACAGGTTCGAAATCGACGCCAATCGACAACTCTATATTGAACTTCCAAAGTACGTGTCACGAGGCGTTGGAAACCTGTAACAAACACTCACAGTGCCAGGAAATGGTGGCGTCCATAACCCGGAACTGCAATCACAGACAGTGCAAAAAAGCCAACTGCATGGAGTCGCTGCAAAACTTTTACCGCAACGAATCTATGCATTCATACGCAATAGAAATCGCGTTTTGCCTGTGCAAGTGAGTACCTACTGGCTACTGTTATTATTTATACTTATGTAACCTTATTTGAAAAATGAAAATCTGGACCTTTGTTTGTACAGTCCCTCCAAGCTCAAAACGACCATCGTACACTGCTGATCCTAACTTATTGTTTGGTAAAATGTAACCAATAATGATTACTGTTCAATTTTGAATACGTCATTACAAATTTAATTTTAAATTTCTTGAGAGTTTAGAGTTAGTTACAGGGGGTCTCGTGTCATTATCGTGTTGGGTTATTGCATATACGAAATCATACTATGTACAGTTCATTAAAACGAAAACGAAGGACTTCGTCAGTTTTTGACAGATTTTATTTCAATTTTTTATTTACAACACAATTAAAGTAAAAAAGGTATCCATTTTTTAATGGATCTTTTGCTTATCGGATTATAACCACATGTATTTTGTAATTACTAATAAATTAATATATTTTCTTTTTTAAACAATCCTAATTTTTTTTAAATAATGTTTGAAAATATTCCCCGTCATAGGTAATAAAAAATATGTGTTTTATTTTTTATTAACTTTCATTTTCATAACTATTAGTTATACGCTATCATAAACAATTATTAAAAATTAAATTATAGATGACTTTTGTTAACATATTTATGTCAGCAAGATGTAATCTTGTTGACAAACTTTAGTATTATAATACATTTTAAGTACCTATATAAATTATAATAATATTTGTAAGTAAAATTGTGGTCTGTTCGTCTAGAAATTATTACAAAGTGATTACTTGTATTACGAACTCATATGGGTCACTGATTCAGATTAATACGAGACTGGCAGCGTATTTATAACGTTAAGTGCAATGCGATGTTTTTCGTAATTGAAAATGTACCAGTATAATGTAATATGTAGTATTATGTGGTAAGCCACAATACTTACATAATATTGTAATACTATGTGCTTCATATAAATTCTATCAAATCGCGTGGTCGGGTGACGTTTGATATTATTAACACGCCATAGTCGTGGCTAATAAAATATTCGGTCATTTATGTTGTATAATACTATAATGTATTAAGGTATAATATTATAATTATAATAATATATTAAAATAAAAATTGCAATAACAATAATAACAATTACGTTGTCAGTGAAGAAGAAGTTATATATAGTATAAGTCATATGTTTTTTTTTTTTTTTTTATTAGCTTTTAGTAAAAAACTATTACAGCTCGACAGTTACAGTAATATAATAACAACTAATAATAATGAGAATTAATTATACAAAGTAATCTAATAGTATTAAGACGATTAGGGAGAAGGTAAAATTGAATTTAAATTATTTAAAATAGTTGTTAATGACTTAATTAATGGGAATAAAATATTTGAGATATCACTAATGATTTTGTTAAAAATAGGTGCTTCGACTGGTGTTTGTTGATTAGCTGTGGCATCGGCGTAGGTTCGCGTTTTGTTGGAACTGCAGGGGTTCTCAGACTGCATGCGTTTGGTTGGTCTGGAAAAAGTAGGTAAACGTCGTCCTACTTTTTGTTTTTGAGAAGCGGTGGTGAGCTTTTTGAAGACTGGGCATCCTTTGTAAGATGAAGTATGAGCTCCTGCGCAGAGATCGCATTTAGCTGGGAGACTGATATCTTTGGAACACTTGTCGGAGAGGTGTTCTTCTCCGCATTTGACACACCGAGGTGTATGTGAACAGTATGATTTCGTGTGACCGTCACAAGGCTTGACATTTGTGGCATTGAGGTGGGCCGATTTTAGATTTATTTGGTTTTTCAATCACGACGGAAGTATGCAATAGTGTAGTAGTATTAAGGATGTCCAAATTATTTTTATTGGGGTTTAGGTCTACAAAGAATAACGGTAGAGATACTTTGTTCTTTTTAATATTAGACACGTGTCTAACCGAGTGTCCAAGCTCCGTTAGAGCACCAGAGATATCAGAATTTAGAGTTGAGTGGTGTAAGTTTCTGATTACAATCCTGAATGGTTTTGAGCTAGGTGGGCAAAAAGTGTGGAAATCCGTGTCGGAGTTCAACAAGTGGTCGAGTATGAGTTTTGCATTGTCCGGCCCTTTCGGTCGAACGATAAGATAGGAAGGCGTCGCCTTACAATAGAAACTATTTATACCCGTGAGTTGTATTAATTTGTTTTTGAATAAAGTGAAGTTAGTTATATTTTTGATGTAGATAGGTTGAGAACGGGTAGTTATATTGGTGTTAACGGTAGAAGACTTAGTCTCACGGACTACAGTATGATCATTAGGTGGAGGAAATGCACACTCACTTGAATCATCGTCGCTTTGTAGAACCTCGAACCGATTCGGGGAAACAAATGGTTTAGACTTCTTGTCCACGGGCCCGGGGGAAGTGGACGAAGAAGATAAATTGCGTTTGCCGTGTACGTGAGCGATTTGGTCAACCGGTACCACATTTTGGAAAGGAATAATTCTACCGTTAATGTCGTAGACTATGGACATTTGTTTGGCAGAACGAGTTGGAATTTGTGTACCTATTGTAGTATTTGGGTTCAACGTCCATGACGCCGACCCTACACTGATACGGAGCGTAATTACGTGATACGTGCGCACTCGACGGTGTTCGAAACCGAACTGAAGTCATATGTTATAAATTATATTATAAAAAAAAATGTGGCTTGGTGTGGCCGGCGGTTGACTGCAGTAGCTGACTTGTGCTGAGGTCAAGTATTGGCTGGTGTCTTTAGTTCTCGAATGGGTGACCAACCGGGTTTTTAGTGATAAATCCTAGCCCCATAAGCACGTGTTAAAAACCAATTGACCCAGGCTATATATTAAACAAACAAGCTAATAACCATCACAAAAAAAAAAATTATAATCACAATGTAATACCTTTAAACATATTATAATTATACTTTTATATAAACAAAGTACACTATAGTCTATTAGTCTACAACAATTATTGCATTAATTTAAAATTTAAAACTACATAATATTACTCTAGTTAAAACACTTTTTTGGGTAATAGTATAAATACAAAATATATACAAAAACTAAATGGATATATTTCTTTTATATACCTAGTAATATATTTTATACAAATTGGATTTATAAAACACTGCCTTAGAATAGAATTTTACTAATTTTATTATTTTTATGTGGTGGAAAAAATGTGTACTGCACAATTTTTCTAGAATTTATAAAAGACAGAAACATTTTCAATATAGTTAATTAAAAAGTTATGAAGAAGTGTGTCTTTTACCAGTTACAGATTTTTAATTTTCCACTGAAGTCATATTAATTTCTCACATAACTGAATAATTATGTAAATACAATATATTTTACAAAAACAATAATAATTTAATTTTAATTGTAAAATAAGAAAAATTAAAGTTTAGCTCACTGCTTGAGAGATGAAGTATTAAGTTTAATATAAAATATATTAATAACTTTATGACAATAAACATGGCCGTTTATGTGATAAGGGAACTGCAATAATTTATCAAAACGCTTGTAAAAAAAGTAACAGTAATGATAGTGATTAGTCATGTACTCATGTGAATACCTTCTACGGCTTCGTTTTACCGTACGCATTGTCCCATCAAGGGTTTTCTGCAAAGAAAAAAAAACAATTATTACAGTTCCAACTTGTACAAATGTACAGTGTAAAAAGCTTCTGACAAAAAAAAAAAAAACAATAACGAAAAAAAGTATACTTGAATTTACACAAAAAACATTATCCAGGCCTTTAATTTATGACTCACTGTAATATGTACGTTACCCCAAGGAGTATGCCTAGGTATAAAATATAGGTAACTGTGGTTTAAAGATTAATATCAATGCAATTATGTGTGATTATATGTACATACTACTACATATATTGTGTAGTACGGATATGAATTCATCGAGTTTTCGTTTCCTCTTTTCACCGAGTTGTTTTTGTACAGTTTATCATAATAATAATATATATCTTCTTTGTCCTATAATAGTTGTATTATCCAAATAAGCTATTTTTTTTTAAATCCTAATTTGATTTATTGTTATAGTTATCATCGAAGGGTGATTCTTATACAATATAGGTACAACATATACATTATACATATTAGACTTTAACGTAGTATTATAACAACAAGTTGAAGTAGCTTTAGTTTACTAGTCTTTGCCCAAATATTTAAGCCTTGCAAATGTTAAATATATTGGAAGTATTCATTTTTCTTCATAAATAAAAAAAATATTATCACAATAATTAATTTATCATTATATTTATTTAATGTATAACCAAAGTCAAAGTTATGTTTAATGTAATGTTGAGTTTCTACGGACAGTTTTAATTCTGGGAAGGGAAATATTATTTTAACAACATTATTCTAATATAATGATTGAAAATAAAATACAAATGTTTACTAAACACAGTTATAGCTTCTACGTGGTGTCTAAATTATATTTTATTTTTAAACATTTAAGTAGCTTCAACTATTAAAAAAAAAAAAATTGTATTGGTTGGTCAATAAACAAATTAAATTGTTATTTAATAACAATTATTTTAAATATTAGTCTTATAAATGTTTTATGTTAATTATCTTATAATAATTGTAAAACTGTAACCGTCTTATACATTTTAAACTAAGAACCTATATACTATTACCAATTTTAAAAAAACCTACACATTGGCAATCTAAAAATATTAATTTAAAATGTATATTTTTTATAGTTCAAGTACAAAAAATAATCAAAAATATAAAGACGTTATTTTTTACTTGTGCGCATTTTAATACCATCCACACCATTCATACCCAAATTTAAGAGTAAACTTAACATACCTACTAAAATGATATTTCAAATTTCAATTTCAATTTCAACTATAAAATTGTTGTAAAAAAAAATATAATAACTTAATATAATATAATTAAAATAGACAATATAAACAATTTGTCCATCACATAATATGATTTGAATCAAAATATTTTAATTTGACCGTAAAACACGATCAAATCAGTATAGCTACAGGTTATCATTTATAATATATGAATTTCACGCCTAATAAAAACCATTTGGAAAGTCGAGAAATCGTCCTTAACATGCAAATAATAATAATTTAATAAAATATTCTTTTTTTAACGACCATTTTCGGGAAAATAATAGCCCGTGGCGATATAAAGGAATGATAAATGTTTACGCAGTTCCGCTAGGTAGTAACTAGTAAGGCAAAAACAGATATGTTTGGAACAAATGGATGTAAAAAATATACATTTTATATAAGTTCCAACATGGCCTTAAAAATGAGATAAGATATTTGTGCAATCATTCGCGAAGCCTTGTGTGCCGTGCAAAATATCTCAGAAGAGGCCTTTAAGATAATTTTAAATTTACGTTATTGTATCATACGGGTACCGTATCTACCTATTTATATTGAATTTAAATAAGTTGTGTGTTTTTAACTAAAACCTGGGGATAGCATAATTCAGTAAGTGTAATTGTATTATAATTTATTACAAAAGTAATTTACAATAAATGCAGATGATTTTGGTTCTAATGTTCATTCAATTTTTACAAAAAATATATATAAAAAGAAAATGAACGAATAAACTAAATAAACCATTCTTCTCAAATGATTAACAAATAATAACTATGAATAAGCAGGGATTATTTAAATGCTATATGGTCTGCGAAGTCTCGAATAAATTCGTAAGATTGATGGCATTCTATATTAAACATATATTAATATGATGTATAATAATATGGATGATGGCTTTATTACTAGTTTTATATATACGAGTCTTGATTTCAAAGTAAAACTTTTAACTTTGAGTTCAGAATACTTATAAATGTTTGCCTTAAACAGAGGTTCTCAAACTATATAGTACGCGGAAGACTACATGTCGGTTCTCGAAAGGCCACAAAGAGATAGAACGGAGAGTAAATAAATTAATATTTTAAATTGTGTTTGAAAATGGTCACATAAGTGGTCTTCGATAGAGTAATAATGCACATAAGTAGTCCGCGAAAAAAAAGTTTGAGAACCGCTGGTCTAATATAAAACACAATTATAATATTACTGTTTTTCTATATAGGAAATCTGGAGTCAACAAAGACAAATGTTTAATAGCTCAAGAGATGTTACATCCGGAATGCGCTCAGCGTGCGGATGGCCCGGCGAAGGTGCCGTGTCATTTCTTAGCCGAGAGCTGTCGTGCGAAATCAAATTGCAGGTAAAAAGAATACTATCAATTATATGGCCGTATAACACATAAATACCTTTGGTCCGTAATATTTTTTATTGAAATGTCAACGTATAGAATCAATGCATTCAAATGAGTTGTTTCTGAGTTATTATACTGAATACAGTTGAATAATAATATATGAATGGTGTAAATTGTAAATACAGGCTGCAGTAAGCTGAAATCGAATAGGCACACAATGTATATTATCATTTGTTTACGAACCCGTAGAGTAAATCACCCTCACCATTAATACCATTTTTATATTTTGGCTTTTCAAACGGCTACTTTTTCAAATAAAAATAAATATTAAATTTATATTTATACATTTTAATCCTATACGTAATAAATAATATCTAGTAAACAATTAGTAGGTATACCTAGCTAATATTACTGTCACATTTTAAATTGTATCCTTCATTAATAATATTATTTACTGTTATTTACTGTAGGTAATTTAAAGATCACTACATACTTCACAATACATTTTACTTTTTCAATTGTGCAACATCAATCCCAATTAGTTTATATTAAAATAGACCACTCAATAAAATGGTTAGGTTTTGTCAGGTATTTATTTAATATTTACCCCACTTTAAAGATTTTGACTGTGATTAATGTATTTTAATATAGCACAGCGAAACTTACATTTGATGAAATATTATTGAGAACCAAACAGTATTTAATATTCAACTTAAAAAATTTCTCTCAAATATACGAATTGTTGTTGTTGTTCTTGAAAATTTGTAATATTGAATAATACTTCATTATGAAGGTTAAATATATAGATTACATGTCATTGCAAAACAAGTATTTAATATTCTGATACTAACTATCGCTTATAGTTATTATATTGAGTATTATTATGAAAATGTTTGAATAAAGGTGACCTTAAGGGGTTTATAAGTATACCAAATATACTTTTGTAATTTTTTTTTTTTTGAACTCGTATTAGTTTTAATATGGTGTCATGTATATAGAATGTGTAATGTGCTTATTTTATTACAAATGTTCATATACCTTCGTTTACCCATTTGTTTAGTACTCCATACTATTTAATTTGGATCCTAATACCGTGGTAGAATAACAGGCATATATTTTACATATAGCATATGGATCGAAAATAATAATCATATATTACAACCCCTTGAAAAAAATATTATTACTGATTAAAAATTGTTGCGTGGTAGTAAAAAAATGAATGCACTTTCGTGTGCAAACAAAACTAACCAATATCATAAAAAAAAACAATTTTAATAGCTTTAAAAACTTCGATTTTAAAAACTAAACTGTTATTAGTTTCTGTAACATTGTGGAAATATATGATACAACTATAACTTAAATAAAATGTTAGTATTTTAAAATATTTTAATAATACAACTCACAAATTGTCCACTGTTGTCTAAAATTAAACCCTTCAAAAGGAAATTGGAATTAAATCAATTGAAAATGGAGTAATTATTTTAAACATTTGTGTTCTATACACTGGAAAATACCACCATAGTTTTCTCAAAAACGACATACATAATATTTTACTCCCTGAAAATCCTCACCACACACTAGGAAGAAATTGGAGTCGTGATATAATATAATATATATATATGTACTATTTTATTTTACGTCTGTGGTCTGCTTAGTTCTTATAAAAGTATGATTGTTCTGTAATTCTGAAATATTTAAGAACCACTGTAATAGTATTTCTAAATTATCTAAATATCCAATACAGTATTACCATCATTCTGAATTAATACATAAATAACTGATGCAGTATAACGAAATAATTAATTTTATTTCAGACACCTATATACTATTATACTATTTGCATCAGTCAATATGATATTTTAAATTCATTGATCAGATTCTGTGAGGTCATTATCTATTACTATTACGTGCTTGTCTACAGCGTTGTGTATTCTTACAATTCAATTATTTTTTTATGAATTTTATTATTGTTGTATTTACTTTATTTATTATGTTTATTTTTCGTACCAACATCATAGTACAATAATATGATTTAATTATTTATGTACATATTTAGAATGCATTTAATTAAGTACGGGCTTATAAATTATAATACAAGGAAATTTATTTATTTATCGCAAGGCATAAATGTATTTATGTATGCGGTAATTGTTGTGCTCATCAAAAAAAATTACTTTTGCATGTAAATAATATTATATCAGTGTTTTCTGGACACTCTAATATTCAAAAAATGTTTATAATAGTAAGTTTTGGGTTTTTTTTTTAGTTAGTTTTTCGATGAAAACCAAAAATCTAAATTTTTTTATAAAAAGATTTGTATTGCTTTTCATTTATTGTGTTGACGTAATATAATATAAAATAACAGTAAACTGTGTTTTTTTTCTTGATGAGCACCAATTAATTCGAATTGGTAATAATAGGTGTTGTGCTACAAATGTCGAAGGGTAACTTTTATAATTTTACTGTAAAAGTAAAATTAGTTTTAATGGATTAAAATTGAAATGTGTTAAAACTAAACTATTGTTTCAATACTTATTGTTAACTGGTCAAAATTTGCATAAAAAATATTTTGCTTTACAATGTGAATTATTGTGCAAAAAATAATATATACGATTAGGCTGTAGGTAATTAAAATAAAAAATAACCGAAAAAAACAGCATTATTGAATTGAATATTGGTAGAAAAAATATATATACTTAGATAAGTATTTTCTTCCAAATTAAGAAAATATTTTGAACACTTTTTGGTTTTTGAATAATATTTTTGACAAGTTTTTACTACTATTTTCTGAATACTTAATAAAATTATTTATTTTTGAAATAAAAAAAAACTTTTTTAATGTACCAACATTTTAAATTATTTAAAGACATTTTTTTTTTGTCAAACTTTTCCTAAACAATAATTATAGAAGTAAAATGGATAGTTTTAAATATTTGGTTTTGTGCTGTGTTTAATTCTGTGAATATTTTCATGAGATTAAATGAAATCCAAGATGACTTTATATTTCATACATTTTAAGAATGTTTGGAACACTTTGTGGGTACTATTATTATTAAGTATTCCATTACAATACGTATTTTCTGATTTTCGTATTTGTTAAATACGTATTCATTTCGAATAGGTATATTTATAAAAAAAGTATTTTAAAGTATGCCACCCGCCCATGAATAAAATCCCAATTACGGGCCTGCAGGAGAAGACTGCAACCTCAATTCTGATTTACTTTTCGCGGATACCCATATAATTTTTTTACATGTTTATTGTATAATTAAAACGTATTAGTAGTAATAACAATAATTGGTACATGAATTGAAAACTATATTGTATAACTGCCACAGGTATAATAATAATACTAATAATAATATAATAACTGCAGTATAATTCATGAATTAACACAAGGTTTGTATACGAGGTATTACTACAAGAATCGTTCTGTAAGCTGGAAAAACAATTTCACGACTCAGTTTATAATTTTGATTTCATATGTAAATAACGAACAATCATTTCACAGGATTAGTGATTAATTACCCTAGAAGCCGAGCACAAAGCACAATGAAAACATTATATTATTACAAATCTTTTTGCTTTGCAAAAAACTGTGCCTACTAAAATATCATTATAATTATATTGTATATGAATGACAAATAATAAATAATTTATACTTGTGTGGTTAAATATATGAATACTTATCAAGTGAAAAACTAAAAATAATTAATAATTTTAAAAAGTTGCTATATAAAACCGAAAGCGTTAAACACGTGGCTGACAGAGCGACGGGGAAATAAAACCGTTCGCATAAAATATGGTTAAAATAATAGAGATAACTACCGTTTATTATAATATTTTAATATAATATGATAATAACAAAGTAACTGACTGCGGTATATGATTGCGGTCCAAATTTCTGTGATTTTTATGAAGTCACTAGACGTATAACCCAATGTTATCCACTACGCCATGGAGTCACGGGGATTGTGAAAATAAAAAAGTTTTATTACGCGATCGTAAATTTTTCGAAAAACTAATCCGTGACAAACTATAAAAACGATATTTCTAGGATCGATATAGTTATATAATGGTTGGTACGACAGAGTTATGCGAAATGGAAAAGTTCTGCACTGAATCAGTTAAAATTAACATATTTTTTTTACACGTATTAAGTATACGTGTCTTCGTACCGTCCGACAGAACTTTTTATTTTACACCCGTTTGCCGTGATTTTGAAATGTTTCCATAGTAACTAGGTTGATACCAAAATAATTACCTAGTTAATAACTAATATAATTCAAATAACGAGTAACCGTTAATTAATAAAATATTATGATATATACATATTAATATTTAATACTGTATGAATATTTGTTTATTATTATATATAGCCATGTAGGTATGTATATTATATAATAACAATGATTATTAAGCCATTATACGCTACATTCGCCTAATTCTGTATTGAACATATAATATAATATGCAGAAATTTATTTTCACCCATAGACCAGCCCATTATTTACCAAATATATTGATAGTCGCGTGCCGATGTGTCACTTCGATTTAGCCCGTTTAGTATACCTAAATTTATAATGTAGAACATTATATTTTACCGTTTCAAAGTAACTCAGTAACCAAAAAGCGTCACCTTGACACGATGGAAACGTGAAGAGGCCCTGTCTATATTAGTAAAAGGTCTATAAATATATTATAATTTATTATAATTTATTATAATTTTATAATTGTAAGTTAAATTATTATTATTTTTTTTTTTTTATTAGTGGGAAACCCTCGGTGACATAGGTCATTGGGTGTGGGGTGGTATAGGGGGGTTTTTTGTAAAGGTTTTGTGGTTTTTTATGTTGTTAAGGGGGTAACACGTGTTTGTGTATATGTGGTAAGAATGTGTTGCTAAAAATCCGGGTGGTCACCCATCTGAAGGCTAGCACTACAGGTACGTACACTCGGAGCGTTTCTGCAGCTTGAGCGTACAACCGGCAAGCCACTTTATATTATTAT